AAAAAAAAAAAAAAAAAAAAAAAAAAAAAAAAAAAAAAAAAAAAAAAAAAAAAAAAAAAAAAAAAACTCTTGAATATTAAAAAAATTCATTAGTGCCCTAAATTAAATAAAAATAAAAATACTTTTACAGCTAAATACTCATAAACAGTTATTCATCAACTATATTTAAACTAATAGGATGTAAAACTCATAGAGACATAAAATATAACTCCAAAAATTTGGATAATAAATATAAATTTTGAGATAAGATAGAAGATATTAAAAAAAATTGAAAACAATATCATCTTCGACAGCTTGGTCAATCCATAATAAAATATATAAATTAAAAATATAGTTTCTTAAACTACGCCTGCTGTCTTCCTCCCTTGTCTGTCTTATTCATGAAAGTCAAAATTTACAGGAAAATGCTCTATCAACGAGCAAGTGCCCATAGTCATGCCTGAATACGATCAATCGTTGACTCATTTTAAATGAGTCGAACAGTTTGAGTAACTTCAAAACCTAAGCTTTCTTGTTCCACAATCTCCATTAAAATATGTTCGTCTCATTCTATATTCTAAAACTTATACATAGATTTGACTTTACATAAAGAATTAAATCACAGACAAAGAACACAAATGGAATTCTGATAATCAAGAACAATCTTAGCCAAATTGGTTGCAAAGAGAAGAGATCATATTAAAATTACCTTATGGGGAAGCACGTTCGATATCTCCTTTGGCCTCGCAACAGAGAGAGAGTTGTGTCAATGTCGACGAGCCCAGTTCTTCAATTAGCTATTCTAGTTCTTTTCTGTAATGTTCATGTAAAGTCTCTAGGGTGTTCTGATTCCAATCGAGAAGCTTTGATTGCCTTAAAAAGTGGCCTCAACGATCCTGAGAATCGACTCGCGTCGTGGAAAGGGATGAACTGTTGCCAATGGAGAGGGGTGGGGTGTGACAATGGAACTGGAGCTGTTACAGTGATTGATCTTCATAACCCACATCCCTTAGGGGAGCAAGGATTCTGGAATCTTAGTGGAGAGATAAGTCCATCGCTCACAAAACTAAGGTCCTTGAGATATTTGGATTTGAGTTTTAACACATTCAATGATATTCCAGTTCCTGAATTCTTTGGCTCTTTGAAGAAGTTGCAGTATTTGAACCTATCAAATGCTGGCTTTGGTGGTTTACTTCCTCCAAGTTTGGGTAACATTTCTAGCTTGCAATATCTTGATATGGAGAATTTGGGTTTAGTTCTTGATAATCTTGAATGGGTAGCTGGGCTTGTGTCCTTGAAGTATCTTGCAATGGATAACATGGATCTTTCCACAGTGAAACCAGACTGGTTTAAGATATTGAGCAGGCTTAGATTCTTAACTGAGTTGCATATGAGTGATTGTGGCTTATCTGGTGCCATTTCATCTCCCTTGACAGTCAACTTCACTTCTCTCTCTGTCGTTGATTTAACTGGAAACAATATCAATTCTCAAATACCCAGTTGGCTTATGAATGTTAGTAGCCTGACATCAATCAGTATGAGTGATTGTAATTTGTACGGTAGAATTCCCCTTGGCCTCGGTGATCTACCCAGTTTACGCTCGTTGGATCTTTCTGGGAATGGAAATCTCTCGGCGAGCTGCTCTCAGTTATTTCGAAGAGGATGGAGTAGGGTGGAAGTTCTTATACTAGCTGATAATAAAATTCATGGAAAGCTTCCATCCTCCATTGGAAATGTGAGTTCTCTTGCTTATTTTGATCTTTTAGGGAATAACGTTGAAGGAGGGATTCCGAGCACCATCGGAAGGCTTTGCAACCTGAACTTTTTTCGATTATCGGGTAATAAATTGAACGGGACGTTACCTGAATTTCTTGAAGGAACTGAAAACTGCAATCCAGCTCGTCCACTCTTTAGCCTGGAGCATCTAGATCTGTCCAACAACAAATTGGTGGGTGAATTGCCGGAGTGGTTAGGCCAACTTGAAAATCTTAATGAACTAAGTTTGGGTTATAACTCACTTCAAGGTCCCATTGTTGATTTCAGATCACTTGAAAAGTTGTCTTCATTGGGGCTGCAAGCAAATAAGCTGAATGGGACTCTCCCTGAGAGTATAGGGCAGCTTTCTGAGCTGTCTCTTTTAGATGTTTCTAGCAATCAATTCACAGGGACAGTCTCAGAGGCACATTTTTCAAAGCTAAACAAACTGAAAATCTTACATTTATCTTCGAATTCTTTGAGATTAAACGTTAGTTCCAATTGGGTTCCTCCATTCCAAGTCAGAAATCTTGACATGGGTTCGTGCTACTTGGGTCCTCCATTTCCAGTTTGGCTCAAATCACAAAATGCGGTGCTGTTCATGGATTTCTCAAATGTCAGCATCTCAGGTCCCATTCCCAACTGGTTTTGGAACATCTCAGCAAATCTAGCTCTTTTAAACGTTTCTTACAACCGGTTAGAGGGACGACTACTGAACCCGCTGAAAGTAGCTCCCTTTGCAGATGTTGATTTCAGCTCCAATCTCTTTGAAGGACCTATTCCTCTTCCAAGCTTTGAGATTGTTTCACTCGAACTTTCAAATAACATATTCTCAGGTTCTATACCAAAGAATATAGGTGAGGCAATGCCGAACCTGGTCTTTCTGTCTCTGGCTAATAATCAAATAACAGGGGAAATTCCAGATACTGTAGGGGAAATGCAGATTCTTCAGGTCATTAATCTATCAGGGAATAACTTGACTGGTAAAATTCCTTCAACTATTGGGAATTGTTCGTTGTTGAAGGCAATCGACCTCGGGAACAACTATTTAGTAGGTCCAATTCCAGACTCTTTGGGTCAGTTAAATCAGCTTCAGACTCTACATTTAAGTGAAAACAGGCTCATGGGAAAGCTCCCACCATCTTTCCAAAATCTCTCCAATCTGGAAACTCTGAATCTTGGGAATAATGATCTTGTGGGTAGTATTCCTCCTTGGATTGGAACTAGTTTTCCAAATCTGAGAATCCTCACCTTGAGGTCAAATGCATTTTCCGGAGCGATTCCTGCACTCACAAATCTTGGCTCGTTGCAAGTCTTGGACCTGGCACAAAACAAGTTGAATGGTCCCATTTCAATTGGTTTCAGCAGTCTCAAAGCTATGTTTCAACGCCAGATGACAAACCAATATCTACTTTACGGGAAGTACAGGAGCATTTACTACGAAGAAAACTACATCTTGAACACAAAAGGCAACTTATTGAGGTACACTAAGACCCTTTCCCTTGTAATAAGCATTGATCTCTCTGGGAACGAACTGTATGGAGTTTTACCTCAAGATATAACTGAGTTAGCCGGGCTTATTGTCTTGAACTTGTCTCAAAATCATATCAGTGGCCAGATTCCAGAGAACATTTCAAACCTGATAGAATTATCATATCTTGATCTTTCAAACAACAGGTTCTCAGGTCCCATTCCTCCAAGCTTGACTAAATTAATATGGTTGAGTGATTTGAATCTCTCGAACAATAACTTGACAGGAAAGATTCCTGTTGGATATCAGTTTCAAACCTTTCCCGCTTCATCTTTTGCTGGAAATCCTGGTCTCTGTGGAGAACCCCTTTCTGTAACATGTCAAGACACTAAAAGTACAGATGGAGGGAGAGATGAAGATGAAGACGAAGAAAACAATGAAGTCATTGATCAATGGTTTTACCTGAGTCTTGGGGTTGGATTTGCAGCTGGGATTCTAGTTCCTTTCTGCATTTTTGCAGCCAAAAGATCGTGGTCGAATGCTTACTTCCAGTTGCTTGATAAAGTTGTGGGTAAGGTTTCTCCATCTTGACGTAAAAGAACAATAGATTATTAATGTAGAAATAATGAAACTATAACTTACCTTCTCCTTGGGTGTTCATTTTCTTGTTTCAAAGTTCTTTATCACTTGACGTTGTGATTTACTACGATGGATGTAATATTGTTATTCTAAGCTACATAAGAACCTGCCTTTCTGTATATATGCACTCACGTTATATAGACTTTTCTCATCTAATTAAATAGGAAACTACACATGTATCCCTTCAGTATGAAGAACATTGCCTTCTCATGCATGTCACTTTACCCACCTTCAACATTTGTACGGGGACTTTGTTAGGAATCACGACTCTCCACAATTGTATGATATTGTCCACTTTGAGCATAAAGTCTCATGGCTTTGCTTTGGGTTTTCCCAAAAGGCCTAATATCAATGGAGATAATATTCCTCACTTAAAAATCCATGATCTTCCACTAAATTAGTCAATATGGGACTTTCTCCCAACAATCCTCACAGGCTTTGGGTTACTGGACCTTTTGTAATCATGATCTTAGTTTGATTTTCTTGAATTGAAGTCCGTTTCTATAGTTAGTTCTTGAACTCTTTGTTGTTGTTGGGCTTATTTCTTGTATGCTCTAGTTCTAGTTCTTTCATTTTTCTCAATGAAAGCTCGCTTGCTTTCTAGAAAACCATTTGTACACCTCCTTTCTTTCCTTCCCAACGTTGCCTTACTCCTTGATCATCTCCCTACATAATCTTTGCCGGACGCACTAATAACCAATCTACCCAAAGAAATAATCTCAATCAAACCACACAAAACCACAACTCCCCAACATATGATCCATGTCTCCTTCATCTTCGACAAGAATGCAACAAAGCAAGCCAACCAACAGAAGAAACTTTCTCACAAGTCTATCGAGAGTGTTCACTCTCCCGCGAATAACCGGCCAACCTAATTTGAAACATTACCAAAAAGATATCACTCGATAATCAAAGTTCTTATGAATACAGCTACTTTGGATTGAATATAGCACTTTATATCAACGCTCAAAGTTGCATATTGATCGAGAATTAACAAATCACTTTTCCCCCATACTTAATTGTTGACAAGCATCATGGGAAGAGGAAACAGTAAAAGGTAGCTTTTGCCGAAACTTACCTTGTTGAGAAGCTTATTGACCATTTGCTGAAGCTGCTGAGGCCCTGCATTTTGGGGAAGATCAATGGGAGCTCCCAAAGGCGCGCCTTCGGGGTCCGTCAAGAGGATCATGACATTGCCGATAGCTTCCTTGTGCTCTACATCCATCTTCGTAGCCATGGATGACTAAGTTTCAAGCAACTGCGAAATTCAGGAACGAGACGAAGGCAAATTTGAGTTCGATGTCTCCCTGCAAAATTGAAGTAATTGAGGGCTTTGGGTTTATAGGGTTTATGAGCGCGGGGTTTGGGTTTCTTTTATTTATTTATTTTTTATTTCTATTTTTCAAATGAGTCTTTCTTGTTCTTTACGAGGAAAATAATATGTTTTCAATAAAAATGTAATTATATCATAGCGTATTTTAAATAACAAATTTTTTGTTGCACTATATTAAAAATAAATTCAATTAATTATAAATTTATTTTTTATCACATATTTTGAGAATTTTTTGTTAAAAGCATTTTTTTTTTTTTTTTACAAAATATTTCAAATACCATATATATATTTAGTCTCGAACATTTTAAAGAAATTAATTCATTTAATTCACTTATTTAACGCTTTGACTCTAACTTATATGAGTATATATATTCAAATTTATATTATTAAATAAGAATCAAAATAGTTATTATTTTAAAGTTTAGAGATTAAATAAGACATTTTAAAAGTAACTTAAATATAATAAATTCAAAATTTTAAGAAATAAACTGAAAAGTTATTAAAAAAGTATCTTCAAATCCCAAGTATTAGTTTTAATTTCGTATGTGGCCCATAAATTTTAATATATATACTGACACGTTAATATACTATAGTCGCCAAATATTGATATATATATACTGACACGTTAATATACTATAGTCGCCAAATATTGATATCGACAGATATTTCTAAGCATTTCGTATCCTTATTAACAGAATCATATTCATGGTGATGATATTTTCATTGAAAATCAACATTTCTACGGTATTACGAACACATCGATCACGTAACGATGAAACGAGCAAGTAAAACCTTGTTAGAAAACAAATGGAAACTCGTTTATTGCATCAACAGAACGAACAAGAAAATTGAAAGCAGAAGGGCTCAGACTAACCAACTTCCTAAGAACAAAGATAACCCACTTGAGACTAATTCCAGAAAAAGCAAAAGGCAAAATGCAGCTTTACCCCGCTAAAAAAATGGAAAAGAAACGCTATAGAATGGTTAAACTAAGCCAAAAACATAATCTTCAAGATGACTGAAAACACTCCATAACTGAGTAGCAGCTGAGAAGTTAACTACGTACTGTTAAATTACTCACTGGCTGAAAGTGGCTTCCGTGCCAAGAAGAAATACATTGGTGTAAATATCTCTCTCCTGACAACATTAAGAAACGTCGTATGAGCGACTCGGGCGAGTTAGAAGAACAAGCATCATGGAGAAATATGAAAGATAAATACAACATGCTCTCGATTGCACTTGTAGCCTAAAAATATTCTGAAGTTAGGACCGACTTTAATGTAACAACTCGAGCTCACTGCTAGTAGATATTGTCCTCTTTAGCCTGTCACGTATTGCCATATGCCTCACGTTTTTATGACGCGTCTACTTGGTAGAGGTTTCTACACCCTTATAAGGAATGTTTTGTTCCCCTCTCCACCTGATGTGGGATCTCACAATCCACCCCCTTGGGGGCCAGCATCCTCGCTAGTACACCACCCTCACAGACGTGTTTTAAAATCGTGAAGCTGACGATGATACGTAATGGATCAAAGCGGACAATATCAAATAGCAGTGGGCTTAGGCGGTAACACATAAGCACGTAGAATTAACACTTTTGAGCTCCCCATCTCCCCCTTCTCTTGTAATCTACCTCAAGTTCGTATCTCGCATATCAAAGTCCTCCCCCCTG